TCTGAATGGGGACACCTGGGATTCCTGCCAGAAGAATCCATATGTTCTTGCTGCAGGAATCCCAGAATGTCCCGTGTGAATATAGCCTGTAGATCAGGAATTCTAACTTTAATTTCTACATGTTTGTACTGGGTCATTGACTCAAAGTACTAGAAAGGGCACCGAAAAATTAATGGGCGTGAATGGGGCTAATACACACCGGATACATTGCGTTACATTGCACTAAAAAAAAGGAGTACATGTTCTACTTTTTTTTTCAGTGCAACGTAATGTAACACAACGGAAGCAGTGTGAAATAGCCCCATTCACATCCATTCAATTTGTGGTGCCCTTCTGTTAGCATCCGTTGAAAAAAAGGATTGCAATGCAACTGATTCGGTGTGAATGGGCCCTAATGGTTGTCTACGAACAGGTTTTGTTTAGAGTCTATGTATTGACACTGCTTGTCTTCCAAACCAATACATTCTGGTTCACTCTAAGTCTCCATTCACACTTGCATGTCTACATTGTCATGCATTTTTAGTGTGTTTTGTTGCACATTTTGTTATGCATTTTGATGCAATTTTCATGTGCTATGCATTTTTCTTTTGGCCAATGAAGGTGAAATAAAGTAAAGTTTGTTAGGGGGTGGGGGATTGTTGTGCGCTCTGTTAAAAATTCATGATACGTGCATTTTTTATTATATTGAAGTATATGGGGCTAAAAACGCATCATGATGCATCAAGTCGCATGGAAATTCATTGTATAAGTGTGAATGGGCCCCATAGAAAATAATAGAATTCTTTTTGATGTGCATTGGTTAAACGACAGCTGGAGCACCTAAAATTGTACAGGTGTGAATTGGGACTTAACTGGTTATTAAAGCCTTCCTTTTTTTTTGCATATATCTATTGCTAGCATGCTGTAGATATATAAAAACAATAAAAAAAAAATTCCAAAGGGTTAAAATTTACCTGTGCCTCCGCTGCACGCTCCCGTCCGAACATCTGAAAATTCTTGGGAGGCTGCAAGGGATCATGGGGCAGACTCATGCGCAATTCAGATCTTCGGCCGGGAGACGAGGAGAGACACAAGGTATGTAAATGCAGCAGCGTGCACCCGCACAGACTTCATGGGACAGGAAGGGCCAGTTATAAGAGAGGAGTCAGCGCTGGATCGGAGACCGGCACAAGCGCTGGAGGACATCCTGAAAACTACTGGAAAGAAGATGATCGGAGAGGCTTCATTTAAGGTAAGTCCTTACATTAACATTGTGGAGGGGGTGGGATTTAGCCTTTAATGTCACTTTAATTATTATTATTATACAGGGTTTATATAGCGCCAACAGTTTGTGCAGCGCTTTACAATATAAGGAAGACATTATAATCACAATAGACTTCAGGACAAGATGGTAAGGAGAGCTCTGCCTCTGAGGGCTTACAATCTAAAATGGAGGGACAAGTGATACATGAGGAGGTAGCTGTGTGGAGATGAATTGTTTGAGAATGTGATGGTTGAGTGGTTAGCTTGAGGTGGGATACCTGAAAAGATGAGTCTTAAGGGATTGCCTAAAGGAAGTCATTGTGGGAGATAGTCAGACAGGTTGGGGTACAGAGTTCCATAGGATGGGAGAGATTCTAGAGAAGTCCTGGAGGCATGCAGGGGAGAAGTTGACGAGGGAGCTGGAAAGCAGAACGTCTTTGGAAGAGCGTAGGCGACGGTTAGGGTGATACTTTGAGACAAGGTTTGAGATATAGCCGGGCTCAATGCATGCTGGGAGAAAGCAAAGAATCATGGGAATTTACCATACTGTAATAACAAGAAGTCCAAAATGGACATGTAAAACTGAACTGACAACGGATGTGCAAACTGATTCAGTTTTCATGAGTTTGTTTGTATCCATGAACCTTGACTGAACTGATGACGCTCGTGTGGAAGGGGCCATAAGCGGCCTTGGTTTATGTTTTTCTGTATAGACAGATTTGCTGAAATGTATGTAAAACCTAACAATAAACTTCTATTGCTTGCTCCCTTTTGATCTATTTAATATACAGATGGAAGCATTTTGTTTTATTTCTGTGATAAGTGCATAAAAACCTGTTGATCGTGTCAGAAATTCCGAGCTGCCCTATTTCCTCTGCACACTTTACCGACACAAATTCAGGTAGTTCCTAATAACACCACTTTAGGAACTTGATGCTATAGATGCGAGAGTTTCAAAAAGAATTACTGCCAGCTTAGAGATTAAAAAACTGGCAGTAATTAAGTCTAAATCTGAGCTGGCGTACAGAATCTGATAGCTTCCCACTAAGGGTTCATTGGCTGCTAAAAAAAACACCGACCCCTAATATTCTAGCAACCAATGAAACCCCATTCAACTGCAAGCCTGGAGATTCCCCAGCTGACATCGGAATGTAAACAAAGGCGCGGTGATGCTGGCTATCATTATTACCCAAATATGGTCATTGCAATATTTAGGTAATGAAGTCAGCTGGCATCCCCACCCCTTTGTTTGCATTCAGCTGCTGGACGGGGAATCTCTGAATGGGACAGGGATGTTTTATTGGCTGCTAGGAGGCTGTCGGCTTCATAAACAACAGCCACCTAGCAAACACTGAAGCTAACAGTGTGTAGAGCCTGATGGAGAAGCTGAGGGACTAGTTCCCCATCAGGTCTACTCCCCTGGTGATAAACAGCAGTGGGTGGATTCCATAGCCAATAAACAGCCTGACATTTGCTAAAGTATGTGCCTACTGACTCGTGTCAACCACTAGCAGAGCAGACCTGATGGGGAACTAGTCCCTTGGTATCCCCGTCATGCTTTGCCCACTGTCAGTGTCAATGGTAGTTAAGGACACTGTTGGCTGTGTAGTGCAGGCAGTGGGCAGATTATAGGCTTTATAGGCTTTCATGACAACAGTAATAAGTGCAGCAAGAATCTGAGCAAGGTGTAATGGACCTCAACAAAAGATATGCCAGATGCGATTGGTAGGGCGTAATTTGTGCTGGTGGCACTGGCTATATGTGGCTGTGTGAACCCTTGATGTCAAGCAGGTGAGATCCCATTGGGTTGGGAACAGGTAAATGGCTGTGATAGGGGAAGAGGGGGTAAAACATTAAGCGGAATCTCACTAAAAGTGAAACGCAGTTTACAAAAAAAAAAAATGTAATGCTTTCATTGCAATACCCGCAGGTCTGCTCCATCCTGCTTTCATTGCCAGCCTCCGGGGAGAATGATGCTTGATGTCATCCAACGCTTTTCCTGTTATCTAAAGTTGTCACTAAAACACTCTTTGTAGTGTGTTTATCACACAGCCTGGCCTCATAGTACTCCTGAGGCCCGTTCGGTTCCTTAGCCAAGCGCTGAGTAGCTGTTCTGCAGTGCTTCTGTTCGCTGCAGCAGCATCACTGAACGCTTCGGCTGCAGCAGTTCTAAGCAAAATGGGGGAGGATTTAGTATTAAACTCGACCATTAATGCAATTTCTACTGTCAGACAGTTTATCGTTCACACTCCACCAAAACAATAAATTGTACGCTTCCACGCTGAATTGTACTTTGCTCTATTGGGGCTCAGATACCCTTCTCCATCGCTGCCAGGTGTGCCCACAGTTACAATCAGGGCTGTCTTTAACGCAGGGCAAAAGGGGCAGTTGCCCAGGGTCCACTCATTGTTGTGGGGCCCAAAGCAGCTGCCCCTTGAGCAGGTCCTGCGCTGCAAAACTCCTGCCACTGGCCCTACAAATTATTATTTCTTCTTAATTTTTTTTCACTTAACTTTATTGCTATCACACAGGAGCTAGCTAACAAGCCCCTGTGTGATAGCATCTACTATGCCCGTCACACTCAGCACTCTCATTTACTTTCGCCGTGAGTGGTAAAGGCTGTGATACACTGCATGTAAAGCAACATAGAGCGCTGGTGAGCGGACCTTCGCGTGCAGTGTGTCATGTCATTTTCTCTCCGGCAAGTCAGCTTGCTCACATAGCTAAGCATGCTGAGATTAAAAATGTCATGTTCAGCCAAACGGCTCGCGCATATAAACCCGTGTGTCACAATGCGAAGCCCATTCGGCTTTTACGTGCGAGCCGATTGGCTAAAGTCCGTCATCCGGCTGCATGCAAATCTCCGTGCCTGACAGCTTTGCTCCACACGGCTTCGCTTGCATTGCTAAGCGCTGACTTGCAGCACAGCGTTCAGCGGCGGTTTGCTAACTCGGCACTCGCAGCGGTTGAGTAAGGCTGGGTTCACACCTGGGCGTATTGAATATGCGCGTTTGTCGCGCGTTTTTACCGCGATTCACGGTAAAAAAAACGTGCGGCAAACGCCCGTTTCCGAGGGCTACTTGGCTATATCCCAATGGAAACGTGAGACCAAAACGCCCCAAAGAAGTACATGTACTTCTTTGGGCGTAGGTCGTTTTGTAGCGCGTTCGGACGGGCGGAAATATGGCAAGGTGTGAACCAGACCCATTGAATACAATGGGATTTAGATGTTTGAGCGTTTTATAGAGCGTTCGTCGAGCGTTGAATGCACTACAAAACGTTCAGGTGTGAACCAGGCCTAACTGAACACACCTCTGGACTGAATTGCTCTTTACTTGTCATTATGTAAGTGCCCCCTTAACCCAGGAGAAGGGACCAACTACCGCTGCCACTGAGAATAGCACCCAACACACCTCCTGATGGCTGTGCACTGCAGTGCAACGCATAGTACTGTAGTGACGTGCGTTTCAGTGAAAAAAGTAATGCATGCTGTGTGATAACGTGCGATACACTCAGGGTAACGTGTGTGAACCACATCCAGCACACAGCACTGTGACAGCGCCCCTCCTGTACATACAGCAGAGGGACACAGACGAGCCCTCCCGTCACAAGCAACTCACTCATTCAGCAGCTCACTTCCCCAAACACTGCCTGGCCCCGCCCCCTGCTGACGTCACCTCCGTAGCCGAGTGTATCGGGGAGATGAGGAAGCGCGGTGTGCCGTGTACAGACTTGTCTTGCTGTATCGTGCCGTGCAGAGTCAATGATGAGTGTAGGTAGCGGGAACGTGCTGGCTGTATACTACAAATGTAGAAGCGGATTTACATAATGTGTGTGTGCATTTGTGTTTTTTAGACTTCTGTACAAAAGTACGTGTATACTCCGCTGGACCAGCTGAAAGCAGGGACGCTGGTTAACCTGTATGGAGTTGTGTCGTATTTTAAACATCCATATCGCAGTAAAGGGACAGGTATGTATTGGAGGACGCTGCAGTGTCACGTGTCATCAAGACTTATCCTGTTTTAGGATGTCCTTAGGGGTCCATTCACACTGCGGCAATGAATGCGCTCATGGCACGCTATCGTGCAATGCACCGCACATTAGGTTCACTGTAGTGTTGTTCATTCTGAATGGCATCCCCATGCTTCTCCTGGTGGTTGTGCTGGTCTGCAATGTGCAGTACCAAGCGTTGTGTTGCCATGTATTGTGGCACCCCGTGTTGTGTTGGGGTGCCGTTCAGTATGAATGGCAGGAAGTCTAAGCCCAGGGATTTATGTCCATAAGCAAACATGCCTGTACACAAGTAATGGCATATACCCCCATATGGCCATTGGCTTCTTTTGGAGGCTGTATGCAGGGGCGTATTTGCCACGAGGCCAACTAGGCGTTTGACTAGAGCGGCACCCCCCGGGGTTCCCGC